AGGGAGCATCACACAAGCTACCACAGTATGACAAACTGAAAGACAAGTGGTGGGAAAGGGGGCAGGGAAGCTCGAGTAATGGAAATAAAACAAGAATGAAAATAAAGAGAATACAGACACACTGTGGGAAATGTAGCCAATGTCACTGAACAATACAAAGCAATGTCATTATGTTGTTAGATGCCATCCAGCTGGTTCCAACGCACAGCAACCACAACATAAGAAAATAGTCTCTGGTCCTCTGCCATCCTCACAATTATTATGTTTGAGTCCACTGTTGCTTCTACTGTGCTACTCTATCTAGTTGAGGGATTTCCTCTTTTTTGCTCACCCTCTACTTTACCAATCATTCTGTCCTTCTACAGGCACTGGTCCCTCCTGATAATGTCCAAAATATGAGAGACACCGTCTCACCATCTGGGCCTCCAAGGATTATTCTGGCTATACCTCCTCCAACACAGACCTGCCTGTTCTGGCACTGCATGGCACTTTCAATATTCTTTTCAAAATCCATTAACTCAAATACATCAATTCTTCTACAGTCTTCCTCAATTACTGTCCAACTTTCACATGCATATGAAGCACTGAAAAAACCATGGCTAGGGTCAGGCGCACCTTAGTCCTCAAACTCATATGTCATTTGATATCTTGACTGATGCTTCCATGAGTGTTTATTGTAGATCCAAGCAAAATGAAGTCTTTGACAACTTCAATCTTTTCTCCAGTTGTGAGGATTTATGTACAGAAATTGGTAAATGTGATCTAATTTACTGAATAAGCTTTCACCAATAACAAAATAAAATGTAACTGTTTTTTAAAAGTCTAGTATAGCACCTGAGATATTTTAAACAAAAACAAACAAAAACAAAAATCATATCACTTTATATTAACAAATAGCAGTTAAAATTATATCTAAATACACCTGTTTATGATATGTAACAGTACTTCAGGTATCACATATAAAGTTTCACTATTAAAAATCTTACTCACGGATTTGTTTATTCTCCTTTGGTAACTGAATTTTGTTTGTTTGGCTGCTGCCTTCCAGGACAAACACAAAACTTTTAACTTCTTTATCAAACTCCTATGGAACAAAAATAAAACCAGTGATCACTGAAGTACATTTTATTTTACTTATAAAGTCAGAACTGGAAACCTATGGAAGAAGTCCCATGTTGGAATTTCTTCAAATTCAGCTCAAGTTCTGAGGGTATTCTTAACACTTGGTGGAATCTGGAACATGGAATGTGGAATCTGGACATGTGGGCAGGTCCCCTTTGATAAAGATATCCTTCTTCCAAATTGTAAGTTCTTCAACTAACGTGGAGTTTCCAGAGTTTAAAGGCCTCTCATCTTTTAATCTACATCTCCTTGTTTAATAGCACAGGGCTGTACATCATTCCATTACAGCACATGAAATTATCTAATCTAGGAGGTTAGACAAATTATCTAACAAATTATATAGGAGGATAGAATTACCTAACCTGGGAGGGCTGCTGTAAGCACTCTGGAAATTCTTTGGTTTCAAATCATAGTTCATACAAAATTAATTACTGACTTATTTTATCAGTGCTCTTATTCTGAGTCCTGATGTGGTGCTGTGTGTTAATGCACTGGACTGCAATTCAGTTAAAACCACAACGTCGGCAGTTCAAGCTTACCAGCTGCTCCTCAGAAGCTCTATAAAGGGTGGCTATGGGTCAGAACCAACTTGATGGCACTTAACAACATCCTCTGAAATTCTTTTATCAATTTTACTTAAAATCAACATGAATTAAAGTGCTATATACCTAGGGTTTCCAACAAAGCTATGGTAGAAGCATAAAAACAACAAAAATCTTCAGAAGGAAAAACCTCCTAGACTTATAGTACCTTCGAAGTGTAATAATAAGTGGGTTTTATTTATCTTAGAGCAAATTTCCAATCTTTCAGTATAAAGGTAACCTTTTTAATTTTTTAAACAGGGATTTTAATTTTTTTAAAATTGTGAATTATGAGATAGTTTTCATGGGAGAACATTAATTTTAGTCATCCTATCGTATATCATTACATTGCCATGGTTACAATCCCCAATATGCATCATCAACCAATCAAAGGGTTTACCCTGCAAGCCTGCCCCCCCTCACCCCCACCCAGTTATCATCATGCAGTCCCTCTCCCTCTCTAGGTCTAAAGTCCCCAGCCACTACACATCTCCACACCATCATCTCTGCCTCCATCTCTG